GTCTCTGTTAGAGATCTTTTCATATTCAGCGTAAGAGATGGCGCTGAGAAGAATGGTTCTGGCCTTGTGGTGATTTTTGAAGTCACGCTTTTGTTGATCAGACATTGCTTTCCTGTCAATCTTCTGACCGCTTGCATTCACTGGGTGCGTGTATCCATCTGTCACCATGTCCCACAGATCAGCATCATGTGCCAGAAAGAAGCTTTCAATTCTGTCTTTCCAGTAATCAAAATTTTCCCCATCAAAGACTGGAGGTTTTCCGTTGAATCTGTCTCTGTCTTCATTGTTGTCATTGCTGGTGTGTTGATAAGTTCCTGCCAATGTGTTTTTCTGACGCTGGATCTTGTACTGACACGGTTAAGTGTTTTAGCTCAGAACCAGGCGCTCTGATGCCAATTGAAGAAGTGAAAAACACAAGAAAGGGGGTTGAATTGTAAAACTAGTAATCAATTGTAGTCAACACAGTATTTTTATCCTGGTTCGTTTGATCTCAAACTACTCCAGTCCACCCGTCAAGGTGATTTCGCCTCTCTCCAACGAGGTCTTAATCCACTATATTCAACTGAATATTACAACTGCTTTAACAACTTCTAAAGCCTTCTTGAGTCAAACCACAAACCGGTTTCTCAAGGTAATACTTTCTTACAGATAATTGAAATCTAGGTGTGTTGAATGTTTTCTACAAAAACTATTTATCACAACTGTGATACTACACAATTTAAGCTTATGAGAGCTAGAGTGCTAAAGTAATTGAGTAAAGAATTTGAGAGCTTTAGAAAACTGAGAGTGAGGAAGATGATGAATTGCTTTAGGCGTGTAGTGTGTTGTAGAGCATTAGCCAATTCAATCTTCACTGACTTGTTTATATAGCATTGAAAAATGTACGTTGGAGTCAGTAATTCCGTTTCAATGCCAATAACATTCTTTCCATATTAAGCAGATCTTTGTCTGGAATAATGCCGTTGATAATAAATAGTCTTGAATGCACAGTACCGATGCCACTAAAACGTGTTCTGGCTTTGGCTTATTCTGACGCTGCTTAGGTGCTGATGAAGTGTTGTTGTCTTGATCAGAGTTCAGATTGTTTTTGCGCAGATCTGCTCATCAAGCTTCAGCGTAAGCACATGTTGATCTTCTGATTCTGGCATGTGATATCTCATTTTCTCATGCTGATGATGATGTTCTCTTGCTGATGTTCATCAGAGTTTCTGCAAAACAGAATGTAATTTTTAGGTAGCATATATGTCTTACATGAATCATACAATTTATATATCTTTGCATTTTGTTATCATCAAAACTTAAACTTAGGGTAGTAGATTCAAAATTTGTTCTAACACAATCGTCCCTATTTTGAAATTTGGATGCGCCACAACAAACCTCTTCATCAAAAATCCACCAAATGCAAGCAAAAATACATATGTATTACAACTTCTAGATACACCCTTCGAAATATGAACTCCGGACACACCCTTTAGAATCCAAACAATCATGATTTCTGCCTAATCCTATGTTAAACCCTTACAATTATGATCATAACATAATTTTCCTTAAACCCTCCCAAAATATCTTGCATTTTGTATTCAATATATTTGTTTGCAAACACAATGTTATTGTATTTTCGATATCAAAAGACTCAAAATCATCTAAAATACATATAATGCGCATGTCTTTTGTTGATGATCATTGAAATAATCTATTTTTTTCTATATCATGAATACCGTCTAGATATTGTAATATGGACTGATCGAAAAAATAACAAGTGTAATATTTTTCCTCTTGTAATAATAGGGAAAATTCCACGAATGTCGATCTCAAGGACTGCACAGAAGTACCCAGTTCAATTCGTAGTTCAATTAAACAAAAACTTTAACTAGGAATTTGGTTTGGAAATTATCACTTAGTGATAATTAAAAATAAGCAGTAATGTAAATTGACCTTTTTAACAAATATAATGAACATGCTAGGGTAAAGTGTATAATTTGCCCAATGACAACCTTGAATCCTGATTTTTTTCAACAAGTTCATAACATTCAATTACCAGCCATTTAGATTATTTTCCCCTAAGTCTTTAGTGAGAAAACCTTTGAACATTCATCCTAAATTCTAAGTCCTTAGATATTTCTGATGGAGTCAAGCCTTTGTTTTATCAAGTGTTATCTGGTAACTATAGGGTGTCTCTAGTCCTAGGTGATATATACTATAGGGTAATCGTACACAAACTTTAACAACTGCGGTCCAGCTAATTGTTAACTGTAAATCTATCATTATTTGTCTGACAAATAAAGTATAAAAATATTGTTTAATTAAATTAAATAAGAAAACAACTCTATTGATGAACTTAGGAATTCAATATCATTACAGAATTAAATCAGAGACACTCCCTAGCATTGAGGGGTTTAACTACTCATAATGTTGTTCAAAAAAATTTCAATAACAATAAAGATAAACATTATAAATTGATGGTGAACTTTGATCTTCAATTGCTTCTGCTCATGAAAGGTCTTCGTTCTCCGAAACTTGCATAAGCTTCAATATTCAATCGTTCGAATTCTTCGTGTGGCAAAAAGTCCTATAATTTCTCTTAAAAACTTTGCTAAAAAGTGAATAATCTATTTGTCTCGGTCGGAAATGTCTAAAACCCTCATCAGGGCCCCAAATAGTGAAAAATCATGAAAGCATTCAAAATCAGCGTAACTGGCCAACACGGGCCGTGTCAAGTGACACAGCTGTCCGTGTTGGCCTTTTGATAATTTATTTTCTTTTTCCAGTCCAGACATGCTGACACGGCCCATGTCAGGTGACACGACCTCCCGTGTTGGCCTTTTGATAATTTATTTTCTTTTTCCAGTTCAGACACGCTGACACGGCCCGTGTCAGGCCTCCCGTAACATGATTTTTCCACTTTCTTCAAAACTCTAAGTTTTGCACTTTTTTGCCCAAATTTGTCCAGTTTTATTCCTCTGAGCCTGAAAATACTAAAACACACAACCAATGCATAAAATGTAAAAGAATAAAATAAAACACTTTAAACTAAGCAGAAAAGATAAGTAAAATCAACGGTAAATAACTATGTAAAAACCAATGATCGTAGACATTGAAAGGATTGGTCAAAAGATTGAACTTCGAATTCGTTGAAAGTATTATCACTATTTGAGACGATTTTGAGTCTTTTGATATCGAAAAAGAATAACATTGTGTTTGGTCAATATATTCGTCATTCCTAATCCATATAAAACACTACTAAGGGGTTGCAAAACATACTACTCAATCATCCATAATGAATTCACATAAATATATCTGTGACACATTTCTAACATATAACAATTATTCATAAGTCTCATACTTAAGTCGCATGCATAAGTCACACATATCGATCTTTTCCACAATTCTTCATAATCATAATAAAAAATTACAAAAACATAAACAATTAAAAAGAGAAGATTTTTAAAATAGTATAAAATATACAAAAAAAAAATACAACTAAAACAAAACCTCTTAAAAATAATGTAAAATATACTAAAAAACATGCAATGAATGAATGTCACAATTTCTCCGTAAACCTTTGTATTCCACTATTTGATCACCATTTTTAGCTTGTTAAATCTTTCATTTAAAACAAATCTCATCCAACCCCAAAACACTTGTTACCGATATTTCCTTTATCAAGTTTTCAAACTTCTCATTAAGAAGACAACAATTGAACCTAAATGGTTTAGGGTCTAAATACTAAGTCCAATACTAGTAAAGATATAAAAATTAGCACAAAAAATATCACAAACAAAAACCAACAACGGAAAAGGAAGAAAAGAACACAAAAGAGAAAAAGCGAACAACAAGAAGCAAACTACAAAATCAATATCAAGAATCAGAGTTCACCATAATTGAGAATCAAACTAGATCTCAGACCACCAGTCCCATCAAGAATAGAGTAAGAGACACCCGCTAGAACCACACACATCACCTCTCAAGATAGGGATCAACCTCTCGAACCTCTATTGATAACTTCAAATGATAAGATTCTCAAGCCAATTCGAGAGCAAGATTGATTTCACTCAAGACCTGCACAAAAACCAATTCCAGGCTAAAAAATACTCTTTTCCTCCACTTCTTTCACGTTTGTTTAAATACTAGACAACAACTTATTGTTATGGACCAACTAAATGATCCACAACATAACATGCCAAATCGTGACAAACACACTCCTCCTAACGATTGAAAAAACTCAAAAAAAGTGCTAAGGTCTGAGGACACTTTAGACTCTCAACCATCTAAAAATCCTATACTAAACACTGAAGGCTAAGTTACATGTAATAAACAAATGGTAACCAATCTTCAGAAATCTAGATTCTATCTAATCTACTAATAACAAGACCATTAAAATGAAATCAAGTGAACCACCAATCTAAGAGTGAGAGTTCAACGAGATCCATGTTACCCAAAAAATGGAATAAAAATTGTCATATCTTTGACTATGTTCAAAATTGATATATTGATTAATCCCCTTTCTCTAATCAAGATTTCTCGCAAAATGAAATATTCAACCATGCACCAAAAAGTTGCTTCAGAATTTCTTTTAGACATTAAAATACCATTCCAAAATCTACACCTTTTCATCCCGAAGGCCACATTTAACATATATATTCACAACAAAACACATTTTTTGATCTTTAATTAACTTCAAGCACACACCCATCCACAAATCCGTCACTAATAGAAATAAAAACTAGAGAATCTTTTATCTTTCTTTATTGGTACAATTTTGAGTTAAATAAGTCGTATGTCAAAGTAACTGATATAACAAGCCTCTCAGTTGGTGACTAAACTGCTACTATTTGATTAACAAACCTCATTCATTTTCTTCTTCTTTCCATTCTTACATCATCAAAGAAACAGATATTAGATATTATAGTTGAATATTCAATACCAACCTCATCACATTCTCCATATTAACGTTTCATGTTTTCCTCTCCTTCCATGCACCCAGTTCTGTATTCACAATAATGGCATTTGCATTTATCCGAAAGGGAAATTTATTCATCCTTAATTTAACGACCATTGCAATACTTTGCTGCTACTTAGGTGATTGTTTGTTCTATGTCTTCAATAAAATTCAATCTAAAATGTATGATTTCGTTTTATATAACGTCCAAAATGTGAAATGAACAGAGGCTGCAGAGGGTGATTTTGAAGGAGGGCAAAACATAGTAAAGGCTTTATCATGCTTTGAAAATAAGCTTGTAAGTGACAAATAATTGATGCCATTAATTCTGGTATTTTCTTCTTTCTAACATATTCTCTTAGCTGTTTTTGAATCCTTCATTCACAGATTTATGCTGGTTGTGATGCTTCATATAGATTAAATCCATCTGGGAATATTAAGGTGCCACCAGAGGCTACTGATTTTTTCTGTAGTGGACCATGTCTCGCAGAAACACAGCTAATGCTTGATTGTATTGACAACGTACTCTCCAGTTTCATATTCAACAACAAAGCAACATTACAACAACTGAGATATGCACTCAATGCTGGCTGCAGCTACTCTAGACAACGAGGTCAGAATACTAGTAACTTAGTTTTCTGCTAACTAAAATTGAACTTCCCTTTCTTCCTATTTCTTCCTATTTTTATCATGGATTTTTATGCTCGAACAAAATGTAACATGTGTATAGGGAACTTCAATTTGGAAGACTATATTGGAGGAGAGATAAACACGGCTCCAGGTGTACCTATTTTGATTAGAAGCTATCTATTCATCGTTGCAGCGGCACTGGTTTATTTAATGTGAGTGTGTGACATTATGTAATAGTAGTAAGAAATAGATACTCGTTGAATTTCTCTGTCTTTAACCGGAGAGCAACATGTTCCTATTAGTTTGGATGATGAGTGACTATTTATCATAATGTATTCTGAAAGTCTGTATTACGGTACCATACAATAATAATAATAATAATAATAATAATAATAATAATAATAATAATAATAATAATAATAATAATAATAATAATAATAATAATAATAATAATAATAATAATAATAATAATAATAATAATAATAATAATAATAATAATAATAATAATAATAATAATAATAATAATAATAATAATAATAATAATAATAATAATAATAATAATAATAATAATAATAATAATAATAATAATAATAATAATAATAATAATAATAATAATAATAATAATAATAATAATAATAATAATAATAATAATAATAATAATAATAATAATAATAATAATAATAATAATAATAATAATAATAATAATAATAATAATAATAATAATAATAATAATAATAATAATAATAATAATAATAATAATAATAATAATAATAATAATAATAATAATAATAATAATAATAATAATAATAATAATAATAATAATAATAATAATAATAATAATAATAATAATAATAATAATAATAATAATAATAATAATAATAATAATAATAATAATAATAATAATAATAATAATAATAATAATAATAATAATAATAATAATAATAATAATAATAATAATAATAATAATAATAATAATAATAATAATAATAATAATAATAATAATAATAATAATAATAATAATAATAATAATAATAATAATAATAATAATAATAATAATAATAATAATAATAATAATAATAATAATAATAATAATAATAATAATAATAATAATAATAATAATAATAATAATAATAATAATAATAATAATAATAATAATAATAATAATAATAATAATAATAATAATAATAATAATAATAATAATAATAATAATAATAATAATAATAATAATAATAATAATAATAATAATAATAATAATAATAATAATAATAATAATAATAATAATAATAATAATAATAATAATAATAATAATAATAATAATAATAATAATAATAATAATAATAATAATAATAATAATAATAATAATAATAATAATAATAATAATAATAATAATAATAATAATAATAATAATAATAATAATAATAATAATAATAATAATAATAATAATAATAATAATAATAATAATAATAATAAGATAACTCACATGCAATATATAATATTATTAATTAGTTATATTATATAGTGTAGATTTGTATAGTTACACGTGTAGTATATTTTACAAATGATATCAACAAACACTAGTGTTCTAGTAGTAAAATAGTAGATTTGCATAGTTACACGTGTAGTATATTTTGTAATTAGATTAAATGGTTATTCGTCAATCAATATAGAAAATAATGAAAAATAAAACTAGAATGATTAATAGCAAATGTTTTGGTTTTATTGAAAATTTATTAAAATCATAATTTAATTTATTAAAATTATTTAATATAAATGCATTGTATGTTGATTAGGATTTTGGGATTAGAATAGCTAGTAAATATTTTAATTTTGAGAGAATTTATTGAATCGAATTCAATTTAAAATAGAACAATTAATAAAAAATATTAAAAATATTTATATAGATGAATTTTATGTTGATTAGTAAATATTTTGATATTATACAAATTTATTGAAATCATAATTTAATTTAAAATTGCACAAATCAAAATGATTATTAATAGCATATATTTTGATTTTCTATAAATCTATTCAAATAAGAATTTAATTTAAAAAATCACTATTAATAGTAAATATTAAGATTATTTATTATAGATGAATTTTATGTTGATTAGCAAATAATTTGATATTATACAAATTTATTAAAATTTGAATTTAGTTTAAATTGCACATATCTAAAGGAGTCACCACTAGACGATCATTCAACAAGGTATGTAATTATGTAGCTTTTATTTCACAAATTAGCCAAAATAAATTGACGAGGCTATTGTCGGCTATGCAAGAAGAGTTAAATCAATTTGGACGAAATAATATTTGGAAACTCATTCCCATAGATTAAGCTAATCTAGTCATTGGAACCCTTTTCCAACAAGCTGGACGAAGAAGGAAAGATTTTAAGAAACAAAGCCAGATTAGTTGCGAAAGGATATAATCAATATGAGGGAGTAGATTTTAATGAAACCTATGCTCCTGTGGCTAGATTAGAATACATAAGAATGCTTTTAGCTTTCTAATGCATCATAAATTTTAAACTATTTCAAATGGATGTAAAAAGTGCATTTCTAAATGGATACATCTAAGAGGAGATATTTGTTGGCCAACCTTCCGAATTTATCAACCCTACTTCCATAGACCATATTTTGAGCTGAAAAAGGCTATGTATGGCCCGAAACAAGATCCTAGACCGTCTTAGTAAATTTATGCTTAAAAAAAGTTTGAACGAGGACAAGTTGATAAGACCCTTTTTTATCAAGAAAACTGAACATGACATCTTACTAGTTCAGATATATGTCGATGACATCATATTCGGAGCTACTAATAAATCCTTGTGCAATGAATTTTCTAAAATAATGCAGAATGAATTTGAAATGTCTATGGTGAGGGAGTTAAAGTACTTTTCTAGGACTTGAGAACTATCAAATTACACGAGGAACATTTATAATTCAAGCTAAATATTGTAAAGAGATACTTAAAAGATTTGATATGGAAAAGTCAAAAGCATTAGCAACACCAATGTCAACATCCTGATTGAATGAAAGGAAATATCGAGGTATGATTGGATGATTATTATATATAACTGCATCGCACCCTAATATAATGTTTTTTGTATGAATGTGTGCATGTTTTCAAGCATTTCCTAAAGAATCACATCTCCACGCTGTCAAGCGCATAATGAAATATCTCACTGACACTCAACAAATGGGTCTATGGTACCCCAAAGGAACAAACTGTGACTTAGTGCGGTATTCTAACTTTGACTTTAGTGGATGTAAATTAGATATAAAATTACCAATGACACTTGTCACCTGATCGAAAACTCACTAGTATCATGGCACAACAAGAAACAAAAAGTGTAGCACTATCCACAACTGAGGATCAATATGTTGCTGCGGAAAGTTATTGTGCTCAAATCATATGGATGAAGCAACAACTAAATGACTATGGTGTCAAACATGGAGTTGTACCAATAAATTGCGACAACACCAGTGCCATAAACCTCACTAAAAATTCCAAACTTCACTCTCATGCCAAACATATCAATATTAGGCACCACTTTATTAAGGATCATGTGGGAAAAGAGGAATGCATACTTAATTTTGTAGATTCATACAATCAACTTGCAGAAATCTTCACAAACCACTTCCTGAAGAAAACTTCTTTTTTATAAGAACATAACTAGGAATATTAAACCAATCATGCATAAGTGAATATATGCGAATTTATGTGCTTATTTACCATTTTGATTTTGAAAAAGGGAGAAAAGTATACTCTCAGGGGAAGCTTAATCACTCTGTATATATTACTTCTTTTTACCACCTCCCTTGAGAGATATATTGTCATCATCAAAAAAAGGGAGAATGTGGATCTATGTGCTTGCAAGTAGTAAAAGACCAACATCTGGAGTTTTAATGATGATAACACATGACAATAGTATGCTATAACACTTAATAAATCTTTTTAGAAGGAATAAAAACCAAGTGCTCTTACAATCAAACAATATTCAGCAAAAGCCTTGAAGCTTCCTTGAAATATGTTTTATCAAAAGAAAACATTTAAAAAATGCCTTAAAATTATGCTAGATGACTTAGGAGCTGTGGAGATGGCTAGAGGGAATTTTTTTATCTTATCTAATCGATTATGACTTTGGTCTAATCGATTAGATCTATTTAAAATTATGCCCCAAGTCATTTAGATAGCTCCTTAAAGATATGCAACAACTATATATCAAAACCTTCCTTTTTGGGCATCTCAACGACCATACTTGGAGTATCTAATTGATTAGGCTAATCAATTAAATAGTTAATGAAGCCCATGGATATTTTCCTTTTTGGGTGATTCCAACTAATATATAAAGGAAGGCCCCCATCACTTGAAATCAAGCCACTTTCCAACAATTTTCTATTTCTTTGGAAGTTATTCTTTTTCTTATAAGTTATCCATTTCATTGTTGGTTGCCTAAGTGCTTTTAAGCGAAGCTCTATCTGTGAGGAGAATATTTTTATAAGTCGTCGCGCTGGCCGTTTATAATCTTAAATGTGTGACACCTTTAAGAGATTGCATTTTGGTTCTTGATATCAACCATAAATCTCTATTATTGGTTTATTAAGCTTTGCTGGAAAAAGCTTTGCTTTGTTTAAAAAGACCAGCCATAAATCTCTAATTGTCTCAATAGAATAAGTCGGGGGTAAAAACCGTTTTTAGGTTGGGGATAAATCTATTCAAATTTTCAAAATTATATTGTATTAAGGTTTGCGGGCATAATCTTTATAAGCTCAAAAGTCTATAGTGAAAAATCTCAAGAAGACCTATTATGGACATGACTAAGCCAACCTTCATCCAAACCTGTATAACTCTCTAGTGCAATCTTTCTATCCTTATCCTCTTTATTTTTCAACAATTTACTTTCCTGTACTTTACTTTTGCAATGCTTACTCGTTTATAAACTTACTAATATGATCTTAATCGAGAAAGATTAAAATTATTCACATTTTTAAATACCACAATTCACCCCCTCTTGTGCTTGAGGTCACTTGTTAAACACACTCTGGGTTTCCTGTATTAGGTTTTGGTGCCACGTTATCTTCTATGTCACCCCTTTGTATCTCTATTTCACTTGTGTTTTCATGTTGTGGGACCTTGAACGGTTTCTCATCCATATTTTCTTATGTTGCTCTTGTTGATTTTGGCTCTATTTTACCTTTTCTTTGCATTCATGGCCA